AGTTATGTATTATATAATGAGGATCCATGCGTGAACGCATTCGATTTCAAATTTGGGAGCAAAATAAGCTTGCGCGGTCCGGAAACGGTCCGGAAAACTCACAGTAGTACCAGCAGCAGTAGTACTAGTAGTAGTAGTAATAGTAGTAGTAGTAGTAGGGGTAGTAGGAGTAGGAGTAGGAATAGGAGTAGGAGTTCTAGTAGCAAGGCAAGGGAAGAAAGGGAGAGGGAGGGAAAGAGAGAAAGAGAGAGAGAGAGAGGGAGGGAGGGGGGAAACAAATGGTTGCGTTTGGCCGGTTTCTGACGGGTTTCTGACTGGTTTCTGACTGGTTTCTGACCCTTCAGCGGGACTCGTGTCAATTGGATCTAAAAGCAAAGGCAGAAAATCCTAGGTGTACTAGTGGTAGTGGTGGTGCAGTAGCAGCGGGTGTGGTGGTAGTACTAAGAGTAGTAGCAAATCTACTAATGAGAGTAAGGATCCATGCGTGAACGCATTCGATTTCAAATTTGTGAGCAAAATAAGCTTGCGCGGTCCGGAAACGATCCGGAAAACTCACAGTAGTACCAGCAGCACTAGCAGTAGCAGTAGCAGTAGCAGTAGCAGTAGTGGTAGTGGAAATTGGAATAGGAGTAGGCGTAGGAGTTCTGGTAGGAGGGTGAGGGAATAGAGAGAGAGAGGTTGCGTTTGGCCGGTTTCTGACTGGTTTCTGACTGATTTCTGACCCTTCCGTGGAGCTTCTGTCAAGTGGAGAAAAGCAAAGGCAAAAATTCCTCGGTGTAGTAGTGGTAGCGGCGTTGCAGTGGTAGCGGCGCTAGTGGTAAGACTGAGAGTAGTAGCAACACCAGTAGAAGGATCCGCCCATGAACGCATTCGTTTTCATATTTGAGAAGAAAAGAAAATTGCGCGGTCCGGAAGCGGTCCGGAAAATTCACAGTAATACCAATAGTAGGAGTAGGAGTAGGAGTAGGAGTAGTAGTAGGAGTAGTAGTAGTAGTAGTAGTAGTGGTAGTAGTAGTAGTAGTAGGTGGTAGTAGTAGGTGGTAGTAGTAGGTGGTAGTAGTAGGTGGTAGTAGTAGTAGTAGGTAGTAGTAGTAGTAGTAGGTAGTAGTAGTAGTAGTAGTAGTAGTAGTACTCGTCGTAGTAGTACTAGTCGTAGCAGTAGCAGGAGTAGTAGTAGTAGTAGATTAGTAGTAGATTAGTAGTAGATTAGTAGTAGATTAGTAGTAGATTAGTAGTAGATTAGTAGTAGATTAGTAGTAGATTAGTAGTAGATTAGTAGTAGATTAGTAGTAGATTAGTAGTAGATTAGTAGTAGATTAGTAGTAGTATTAGTATTAGTATTAGTAGTAGATTAGGAGTAGATTAGTAGTAGATTAGTAGTAGATTAGTAGTAGTATTAGTATTAGTATTAGTATTAGTAGTAGTAGTAGTAGTTGTTGTTGTTGTAGTTGTAGTCGTAGCCGTATAACCAATCGCTCAGCCTATCGCGATGCAGGTTTTGGCAATCGCGCAAAGCAGAGTAAACGCATCAATTCATAAATTTGTTATCTGCTTTTACGGACGGCTCACATATGGAATATGCACATAAGGACATGTTAGAATTATGTACATGATTATTGAATATTATTGATGTGTATAGTTTATATCACATGAAATCAGCATCTATGCTTAGTAGCAGCATCTTGCGCTCCCTTCTTTCAACCTCCGGTTTAACCGGTCGGTTCCATTCTGGAGCCTACGTACCAACCGATGTCGCTAAGTCACGCAGCTTTGATTCCAAGTCTGCGGCTTGCAAACGTTTCCAAACGCTTGGCCAATCACTAGCCTTTAAGGTAGTGAAGGGATACCGATCTTGACCCTTAAAATGTGCACAAGTTCCAGTGACCATTTCTTTGATATGCCCTTCTTGGATGGATGTCTTGGTCCTGTCACGATGCACTGGGGCCCACTTTTGAAAGCCTAACAAATGGAGCTCCACAAATTCCACGGCGGCGCTCAGTGGATCTTTACCTTCAAACATGGTGGCGGCCCATTCGTCCATGAAGCTCTTCCAGTTCTGATCATTCGCCACCCGCTCAGCTACTTCCTCCTGTTGATCATCCGTGAGATCCTTGTAGGCCGCATGATGTGCCACCCGACGATTGTATTCCAACATCTCCATCAGCCAACCTCGGTGGTTATCAGCCATGATAAAAGATGCTGCTCCCATCTGATATCGTCTGTCTGGTGAAGCCTTGACGTGTTTGGTGTGCGTTTTACAAGCCTCCACCGCAGCATCTACCCGCATATCAGCAGGTAAAGTCCAATCGGGCAAGGTGTTCTCAGCATCTGGGAAGTAGGCGACACATCGAACTTCAATACTTTCCTGGTGTCAATGGGTTGGTGCCGATGGTTTTGGCACAGTTTCCAATGGGTTGGTACCGAAAACTACAGGGACAATCCTGATTTCAACCAAGTCTGGGATGATCCAATGCGCCTGAAAACTATGAGCTAAGAAAAACATGTTGGTAAATGTTGATATTACCCTTTGGTAATTTAAAGTAGGTATGGAAAATGAACATCACCATTGTTAGTAGTGTGAAAAAGAAACACTCTGAAAACACAGGACGGAGTTTCTCGTTTGTAGTCCAGCGTTCCATCGTCGACTGAAACACTCGAGTGGAACGTGTAACGGCATTTCACATGGGGGTCGGAATCGTATTGCATAAAGATCAGATTCTCGTCTGCGGTCTGGAGAGGGTAATAATACCACTTGTGGAGTCGATGGTTGTTGCCGCACATGTGGTACATGTGGGTTTCCTTACCTTCCCAAGTCGGGACTCTCACACTAATGAAATCATCAGGTGCAAGCACGCTCGCACCATCACAACACGCCAGGAAATGGTTTTGGATGGGGCTGTCGGGGTTGATGTTCCGCCAAAGGTTCATCACACTGAGGCGGCCCTTAAAGTCCATGATGCCAGGTGGTGGTGTATCTTGTAGAAGATTGGTGGCAGTCCAGGTGGAGTAGTCCGCATGGGCCAATCCAGCAAAGGGTTTCCCGGTACCATGTCCCCGCACAAGATGATGGAAACAAATCACAATTGGCGCACCAGTGACCTTCTTGATGGTTTCTACACAC